GAACCTGCCCCCCGGCCACGTGCAGCGAGAGCAACTGCGCGTCCTGATGCGTGCCGACAACGCCGGAAACCGCATCTCGTGGAACTCTGCAAACGAAACATACCGCTACAAGCCCAAGTTGCAGATCCGCAACGCCGCACAGCTCAAGGGCTACCTGCAAAGTCAGAAGAGTGCCATGGGTTTGAGCATCAAGGATTTGAAGGACGGATGGGCGACGGTGGCGGATGATATCAAGCTCATGGAGGACAAAAATGAGGTCTTGGTCAAGCGGACCAAGGATGGCGTGGCCAGGACGGTCTGGAATAACGACCCCAGCATGATGCATCCCATGGAGCCCGAGTTTGCCCAGATGTGGCATCGTATTGCCATCCCGGCTAATCCCGACGAGTTGAGGTCTGCTCTGCAGGGTGCAGGGCTGGTGGCGGCGACGCAGAAGAAGGAGGTGGTTGCGACCAACAAGAACAAAAAGGCAAAGGCGCCAAGGAAAAATGGTAAACAGACGAATACCCACATGGCACATTTGCTCAAGGATTTCTCCGGTATGAGGAAATAGAGGCGGTATCTTGGTTATTTTGCATCAGCGATGGCGTTTTTTGGGGGGATAACTTTGCATCTTTTTGATCGTGGGCTTTTTGTGGGTTGTATGCACACTCTAGGGAACAAAAGGGACATTGTCCTCCTTCGACGAGACTGCATGATGATTAGCTTCAATGTCATCTCCTACGGTAGGACTGGGCTAGGTTCATCTCTAACCATGTCACCAACAGATATACAAAACTTATTTACCAAAACGATTCAGAGTCAGAGACGGCATAGGCACGATACCGTGATACCGTCCCACCATATTGTTCTCATCATTGTAATTCTCCATTCTATCGTCCCCCCAACTTCATTCCCACCCCCTTGTCCCCATCACTTAAAAATCCGCCTCGTCCACATTCCTGATCCAGCTTACCATCCACCTCACAGTATCCACATGCGCCCTCACCCCAACCTTCTCATCCACCGTATGTATATTCCCCATCCCCACTTGCTCCCTATCCCACCCAGGCCCATACCTAAAAATATGCTCGCTCAAGTCCCAGTAATACCGCGTATCTGTATTGCCAGTCATGATGCCAGGGGCAACAAGGAGTTCAGTACCATACAGGGCGCGAGTAGTACCGGCGAGCACGACATAGGGAGATGTCGTCTTATTCGTAGTGCGTGAGGAAGAGGAAAGGGTTGTTGGAGTGATCGGAGCAGGTTCCAAGAGGGTGTCTGAATGGGAGAGAGTGATTGAGTTTGGTGTTTCTGTGCCGTTGAAGGCGTGCAGTGTGAGATTGTATTTCTGTGCGATTTGGCCTGCGAGATGCGAGATGTGAGCTTTGATGGCAGAGGAGCTGGAGCCGACGTTGATACGGTGGTTTACCGTGACCGCGGTGCGTTCGGGCAGTGCGTTGTTCTTCACGCCGCCATGGATAATGTCTACAGCCACAGAGGTTGTGAAAAGATACTTTACTTCTAGTCCGGCTTTCGCTGCTTCGAGGGCTAGGTCATCTTTGCGGGGCTTCTTGGAACAGGTGTGTGTGTGCGCTGAGCGCTTATCCAGCAGCTTTCCTAGCTTGTGCGGAAAGTCGGGCGCGTGTTCTGCGCCGCATTGGAGAAGTCCAAGATAAGGATTCGTTTCATCAAGAACAGGCTCATATGTGTTCTTCTCAATCAGTGTGATGAGTTCACTCGCCACACCGATGCTGTTATGCTGAGGCGGTATACTGCTGTGGCCACCAGGCATACGCACCACGATGTCGACATCGACATAGCCCTTCTCCGCGACTCCAGGGAGAGCAAAGTTGGCGCCCCAGCTCTCAGTATTGACGGCACCTTCATCGATAATGGCAGCGATGGAGTTGTGTCCGAGTTTAGAAAGCAAATGAGCTGAAAGATGCTTTGCGCCCTGGCCACCGGAGATTTCTTCATCAAATCCAAAGGAGAGAATTAGGGTGCGGCGCGGAGTGAAGTCTGCCGCGATTAGGGCCTCGACTGCGTTGAGAATGGCGAGGAACTGGTTTTTGCAGTCGCTTGCTCCGCGGCCCCAGACAAACTTGCCGTCGTAGTGGCCGGAGAAAGGCGGGTGTGTCCATTCTGTGTCCTCGTATCAGCAAAAGTTCAGCATTCGTGATTTAAACAGGAAAAATTGAAATACAACATACGCTTAACAGTGCTTTCAGGCACAGGTACTACATCCTGATGTGCCATCAACAAATTCGGCTTCAACGCGGGATCCGTTCCAGCCCACGTGAACAGCAATCCATGCGTATTGACATTCTCTTTCTGCAGTGTCGCATGAACAAGCGGATACGTCTTCTCCAAGTAATCTGCAAACGAATAGAAAATATCCCATCGAGCATCTTCTCCGATAGCACCCATGTCATCATAACTTTGCGTCGGTATCTTTACCGCGCCGGTAAGCCGTCCAATCGCCACGTCGCGGAAGTCATTTGATGTAAGATAACTTTCCATGTTATCCAACTCTTTTGATCTGCGTGATGGAAACAGCGGCTCTACTTGGACGCATTTCGGTGCCAATGGATGATGCTTGCCGGATGTGACGTCCCATTGCGGTGCGCGAGACGGGGCACTAGCGAACAACCAGATTGTCAGACAAATAAGAGTACCCTTGAGGAAGATTGAGGTTGTGGTAGTTTTGCTAGTTGGTTCTACAGGCGCATTTGGTATCTGTTCACTCCAAACTTTGGCCATCTTGGTTGAGTTGAAGTTGGTGGAGAGTTAACGGGTAGGCATTGCACAGGTCTGGGGATACACACCATTTCGAATGACGCAACGAAGCTCCCGGCTGAACCGGCATGGGACGACGTTAATTTTCTTGTCAACGACTCATCTTAACGATTCATGCCAGCAACTCAAGGGGCTTTGAACTCTATTTCTTCCAATCACCCCCGGCGAATGTGTTATCACAGCAAGTATATCACAATTAGTGCTTTTTTTTTGACACAAAGTTTGCATTTTACTGTCTTGACCACTCACCGCTTTGTACCCCTGCATGGAGAATCCCGTTGCCAGCATCGATTCACCTATAAGACCAGTCTTTTGCAGGCTATCCACACGAAACGTCCAACCGCAGACGCCCTTGGCACTTGATCAACTTGATACAGGCATGTGTTTCACACTACCATTACTACTAACCTACTCGATGTTTTATCACGCGGCTTATGTAGATGGGACTCTCTTACAGATATCCCATGAGGATCTTGTAGACCATCGGGAAGTGCTAATCGTCCTCGCCACAATAGACTAATCGTCCTCGCCACAGTAGACTAATCGTCCGCGCCCTTACTGGCGTACCTTAGCCGCCTAGTAAAGTAGTACTTGGCGCTCTGTATCTTACCTGAAAAAATGTATAAGTCAGCATAAATACCTAGGGCTCGAGTAGGGTACGGGTTAGAGTAGGGTTAGGGTTAGTATAGAGTGAGGGATATAGAATATATAAAAAACGCGCTCCTCCTTATTTAGGAAGATGTAGTACATTCACGGCTAAGCCACTAAAACTCTGGCTATACCTAGATGGGAAGGGCGAGGACAAATAGCAACTCCCGTAGACCATCGAATACATCCATGCAATCCAATTAACAACCACCAACAAGGTTGACTCTGTAAACTTCAGTTCCGTGAACTGCTTAGATAAAGTGTGGTCATAGTCACAAAAGTTATTGTGATAATGCGGGTACGGTACGATACACCGGTTTCCCCCACATCTTTTCAATAGTACTAGTATGTCCAAGCGCAAGCTCGATATCCTTGTGCATCCTGTAATAGATTTCATGCATAATGAACGTATCCAAGTATGGATGGATGGTCTTCAGAGATGATGGCTTCTTGTAGATACAGTGGAGGCGCCGTAACAAGAGAATTCATCCTCCCACAGCATTGTACGATAATGTTGCAGGTGGAAAGTTGAGTGCATTTCTACATGTCCGAGCAAACATGTCGTCTCTCGAGAATGGACTCATTTCTGGAACCGTACATTGCCCGGTGTTGATGTAACGTGATATGGCGACGGCAACATATTGCCTGGCTACATAGTTTCGGTCATGGGTTTTGAGCGCGTAGGTTGCCAAGGCCTAAAGCTCTGGACATGTTCTTGCGGCAGTTAGGACTGGCAGGCCGAATAGATTTGTATAAACCTATTCTCGAGGATGAGGCCGATTTTGATCCCAGTCACTCCCATTGGTCACATCCCAATCTTGACTCCTCAGACTCTTTGATACGTACTATATCGACAGGTAACAAATTTCGGCTCTTGTTAATGGGTAAGCAGACCCTTCCCCAGAGTCGGGCGATGCAAAAGACCCTCACCAAATGCATCGTCGATTATATATTAACTTCGGAGTACTTGACAACTCCGATAGTTGAAACGATCTCATTGCTGAAGGAATCCTAGATTGCATGAGAGGACAGCACTTCGCAAGCTGGAAGTACATCCATGGAGACCTGTTCGTCTCTGAGCATTGAAATGCTGGTTCAAAGGGAGCACAATATCTTCTTCACCCACGTTCCTCTTTCTGCATTTTCATCTTTGCTCATCTGGCTGCTAGCATGTCCAAAATTGACAAATTTTGGCCACGTGTTCGTGAGCACAAGATACTTGATCTCGCTCTCCGCCGCGTCAAATATAGACTCTTCGAATGCTTCGGGAACTTCAAGATCAGAGAGTAATTCATCAATATGCGGCTCCTGCATACGTGTTACAGCTCTGTAATTCGCGCGACCTAGTGCATCGAGGTTCACGCAATTTTGTAGTTCAGCCGTAGAACTGAATGAGTTTTTTCGATCGGATGGACTCATGTCATCGAACGGCGTAGCATTGTCGGAAGTAACCGAAGTTATGGATCCCCGTTGGTGGCGATACAACAAGTTGGCTGCGTTTTCGAAGACGTTTTGCAGTCGCTTCTTTTCTTTGGAAGAGATATTAATGGGAAACTCGGCGGAATCAGAGACGAAGTGAGCGAAAATACGAGTGGCGGCGATGAATTGGTCGCGCTGGTGCTGGGCCTTTGGGAGCTTGGAGGAAAACCAGAAGCCTCGCCAGTCTGCGAGATTTATGAGGAAGCTCACATTCTCGCCGCTAATTAACGTTAGCTTTCGATGTTTTGTGTTTGAGGCAATTTTGCGTATACCTAAAATCCTTCAGGCATGCGAATCGCAGAAGTGGAACAGCGTTGGTCCGCAATGCGTTTTCCAATGCATTCATCGTCAACATATCAGACTTCTGCGATTCGAAAGAGACCAACTTGAGACTATTTCTGCCATTTAAATTGACAGCAGTTGCGGATGAGGCTGGAGAAGAGGAAGACCATTCAGGAGCACCAGAATGAAGCTTATTGACTGTTTGTCGGGCTTCCCATTTGGCGATGGCATCCAGAGTCTCTTGGCGAAGAGAATTGTCTTTTATGATATCGGCAATTGGAAATCCACTACAAGGCTCAGTCAAGTACGTCATTTGGAGCTCGGAAATCTTACATGGCAGAAAGCTCCATCAAAAAGAAGCATATCGAGAACCAAACCGGGGGAGGAAGTACCGCATTCACAGGTTTGAACGCGGGAATGTAGAGAGCTGCTAGCCAGAGTGGGGATGCGGGAAGCCTTGGAATCAATGTTAGCAATACCTGTCAACGGAATAAGCTTTTTACACATACCCAGCAATGCAGCAACAAATCGTCTGAATGCGCCAATGGTGAACATCACTGATATTTCTTGACTTCCAAAGGCAGTATGGCGCGTAAATCCAGGACCAGAAAAATTGCCAGACGATCGATAGCCACCATTCCCACCCTTTGCTACACATCTCACGCTGTTCCACGTCCGTCCCAGCGACGGTGTAGTCGAAGAAACCAAAGGACTGGAATTTCCTTGAACCTAGAAAGACAAACAGAGTTACAGCAAACTAGAGACAAATTAGTTACAAACAGTATAGGCGGAGCCTGATCTAATCTTACCTGCGCCGTTAGTCCGATGCCAATGTAGATCAAAGTACGCTCGAGGCTGTCAGGTCGCTCCGCACCAGAAATGATTTTCCTCCATCGGCTACGGGAAGTATGTGCCTTCTCGGTCATCACATCTTGCTCTTTCAAGGACAAATGCGCGAGTTGCTTTTGGCGGCTAGCAAGATCTAAAAATTGAGAATTGGAAGCGTGGAACAGTGCTATGCCGACGGGTAGATAAATGCTCATAATCCAGAACTCGGCATTACAAGGAAAGCCTGAACCCATCATATAGACTAGATATAAAGTCAGTGATTGTTATACGCAAGTGCGGGACGAATATCCTACGGAATAGCACAAAATTTCCGTACGTGTGCAGTGATAGAATTCCGGCGAACAGAAGCCCCAGTCTCCGCATCCGAAGGGAAGGCAGTGAGCGACGAGTCCAGAGGAACGACAAAGCGGCCACTATCGCAAGATTCCAAACGATAGCCACTGCCGTGTACGTCCATGCTATTTTGTCGGATTTCAGCTTAATGGTCATTATGAAAGGTACTCCAAGAGGGGATGCGGTCGCGAGAGAGATTCATCAAGAATTGCCCCTGGCGTGAATTCTCTTATACTCGGCGAACCCCATGGAGAAGACGGTTGGTAGCGTATCGAGAACTATTGCGGCCGGCAATGTCAACCTTGCAATTGCAGGGCAGGCCTGACCCTGTGCGCATTCGGGCCTTGCCCACGCAGGATCAGCACAGCAAGACAGGCAAATGCTGGCGCGGTCTGTCAGGCATCTTTCAACGGGAACCGATTACTGGACGGGTAGCGTTTTAGACATAACGAGATACCAGAGCCGAAAGGGTTAGGTGTCTGACTAGTGTGACAGCTCCTGGACAATCTGCCGTGGCCAAAAGAGATCCTTCAGTTTCACTGGACATGCTTCGAACACTATTCGGACTATCACGACTGTATCAAAGTGATATATTGCCGGAGGACAGATGATTCCAGCCATGCCAATTGAGAGTCACATTGTGATGGAATGAAGGAAGCTTGGCTCTCTGAAGACCACTTAGATATCTTCAATCTGAAGCGTCTTTCAGATGTTCCAAGTGAATGATGCCCTAGAGCTGAGCGCTTGGGCGTACAAGGAACAGTTTTGACAACCTATAGTGTGCTGGTTGCTGCAGTTGAATCTCTGCTCACGGTTCTTGGGAGGAACTTTAATCTAAAGGCAACGCTGAGAGGCCCGGCTGACCGCTCCCACGTCGGTGAGCATAGACAATCGTGAACTTGGGGATCGTGCCATGGCACAGGTTGGACTAGATTGACGATCTCGAGCGATGAATGCAGGGCACCCTAGTCGCGATCTGGTCCAGCCCTCCCGTAGAACATCGTCCAAATGACGCTCTCCAACCTTCGACAGAGACGTCATTACTTATTGGGGAATCCACCGAGCTATTGTATGACTCGCACAGGAGCATCCACACGAGCTGCGAGTCGTCTTACGTGGATTTTAAACGGGAAACCGATGTTCCGAAATCGTCAATCTCAGGGTGATATCCATATCTGATCTATCAAGGGCGATCTTTTCGATCTTTAACCGTTGTGCAATGACTATGTGCATTACCCTTCTCGTCATTGTGTAAGCGAGCACATGCTTTAGGGGCGAGTAATGGCCATATTCACAACCTGTGTCCGTTTCTGCGCTAAAACTGGACCGTTTCTGTGTGGTTACCAGAAATTTTCTGCTAAGCTCAGGACATAATCGAAGTTTGACCGACATTTTTGCGGGATTCAAGAGAATTTACCTATAATTCAAGTCGGGGTCGTGAGAATTCATTGCATGATGATGCATCAGAGATCTTCAAGTGCGCGACAGTAGTGTTGTTGGTTGCTCTGGCTTTGCTCTCGTTTTGCGTGCCCAAAGTTATGGTACCCATTCTCCCGATTGCGTCGGGTCAGAACGCTGCTGCCTTATGTGCGTTGCGTAAAGCTTCAGGACAACGGTGCGATAGCTTGAAACAGATCCCATGATTACTGCCACAGCAGCTTCAATCGCTAGCCATAACGCTAAGATCAGGTAGTTGATTTGGCGCTTTTCTTTATTAATCTGGAAGATCGTTCGGCAGACTGTGATAATAATCGGGAAGACGGACAGACTTTTGAAAAGTGTGTTGATGATGGCGTTGCTTAGCGTGAAGTTCGCCAGACAGGCGAGGGATACGGGGATGGAGATCACTGAGACGATGATCAGTCACTGCTACCCAGTAAGATGCGACATGGCATACCAAGTAGATCGGTCAGGATATCAAGTGTGCTAAGAGTAATTTCCCAAGGCAACGTGTCTTGTAGAGCCGTATGCCGACAATACTCGGGATGGGGGCAGAGCACTATGGTGATGATAAGAGTGAAGAAGAAGCCGACGCCACACATGCCAACGGATGCCCAGTAATATCGCGTCAAGTTGGGCGAGACATACGCATAAAGCGGTTTGTAAAACTTGGACTGCACAAGAAAAGAGGCTTTCACCAAATACAGCGTAAGCCACAACAACTCAATCGTGGTCGTAAGACGAGAGGTGACGAGACGCGACGCCAGACAGCACACCGACAGTGTACAAAGTGTCCAAACAGCGATCTGCCAGATATAAGCCCGGGCTAAACACAAAAACCATGTGTGTATACCTCAAAGGAGCCTTTGCTGGGAACAGACTGCATGCTACTCATCGGTTGTGGCTGGCCTACCAATTATCCCGAGACGTCGCTTTCGGCGGGCTGCTATGATAGGCCACAGCATCTATACCAAGGGGTTGGGGGTGTCGACAACAAGCTCAGGTCCCTCTTGATTGTCTTCAGGTAGGCATGGCTTCGCATGGATGAAACTGGGTTGATAAATAGGGTTGACGATGGCGGCTCGATGAACGTTATTGTTCCCCAATGCCTGATGAAACAGGCCTAGCGATATAATAGCCTATTCCTATTCTGGACGACGCGTTCGAGACTCGAAGCTGATATTACCTCCCCAGTATTGAGCAGGTAAACATTTTCCGAAAGATCAACCTCCTGAATGAAGACCACTCTGCTGACGATTTGTGATCACCTACACGTTCTCCTCCAATTGCGGAACGTTTCTAAGATGAACTGCCGAACTGGTTCAGTCGTGACGCACAGTGGTGGATCGGCTCTTTTCTCCCGAGAGAGAGTTCTACATCATCGGCTTCGGTAGTATTTACATATTGTGGACGGCGACCAAGTTTCAGCATGGCTACTGTGGAAGCCGGATAGCTCCGCCAAGGTGGGGTTGTGTTTCCTGAAATAGCCATGGTCAAGTTCCGGTAATGGTCCAATGTGCCTACTGTGATGTTATCATGACCGGTACTACCGTACAGAGCCAATCCCTACAAAACTTCGAAAACTACTCCAGTACTTCCGAAGCTTACTACAGGACTATCTTCAACCCACTTCACATCATGTCGCTCAAATACAACAAAGTTCTCGTCGTCGGCGCTACCTCAGGAATCGGATACGCCCTAGCAGCAAAGATTGTTGCAGACGGAAAGCAGGTAGTGATTGTTGGACGACGACAAGACAAACTTGATGAATTTGTCAAAAAGCACGGTAGCGACAAGGTCGACTCCGTGGTATTCGACATCACCAAGCTCGACCAGATCCGAAAATTCGTAACGGATATCACGAGCAAACACCCGGATCTTGACTCTGTCTTTCTGAACTCCGGCGTTCAACGCGGCTTTGATTTTTCCAAGCCGGAGACTGTTGATCTGGATGTTCTGGAAATGGAGTTCAAGACGAATTACTTGGCGTACATGCATTTGACAACCGCATTCATCCCCTTTCTCCAGAAACAAGAGAAACAGACTTCGCTCATCTACACGACAAGTGGACTGGCTTTGTTGCCGATGCCGCGCTGTCCCAATTACTGCGCCAGTAAAGCCGCGCTGCACCACATGATCCTTGTGCTCCGCGACCAATTGGCCAACGGACCTGGCAACATCAAGGTTATCGAAATCTTCCCCCCAGCTGTGCAAACTGAGCTGCACGACGCCAAGCATCAACCGGACATTAAGAACGGAAGGCAAATAGGGATGCCCTTGGATGAATTCACAGAGGAGGCATGGTCGAAGCTAGTCAATGGCGACGAGCAGATTCCCGTGGGATTCGTAGTCAAAGCCTTTGATAGTTTTGAGAACAAAAGACAGGAGATGTACCGGAATGTCATGGCGAAGCTGGCCTAGCAATCGAGCAGCCGCCTGGCCACTCGACTGTAGAGACTTGAGCTTCACTGATGGATTATTAGATACTGTTGCTAGTCAAACGGTGGCATGTCTATCTACCGCTCTTCTCAACGATCTGCTAATTCACGTGGCCACGACTTGAAGGGTTCACGGCCATGTTAGAGTATGTATTGTCATAAGAGATACAGGTTGGACCATTTGCACAGCCTCGGGGATTCGCGTGACAATTAGGGGAACTCAAGCGGCACAGCCCTGCCGATGCGGTGGAACTGGGACGCTAATCCACTCCCGCTGCGCCGCCCAAACGATCCACGTTCGCCCAAACCGCAAACAACTCCTCACCACACCTGCCTGCCTCGACCGCAATTCAGAGAGCCTTTGACCGTTCACATATACACACTGTGTCTTCTCGAACCAGCATCTTCACCGCCGAGAAAGTGCGAAAGAGATCATCATGGCCGACAGCTTCCGAAACGCGATGATCAATCGGGCGCTTGGCGATATCAAGAACGCAAGTCCCTTCGATGTATCTGCCCCCTTTAACAACCCCACTGACGATGGACATAGAACCTGCAATTCCTCGTTGAATCTAATGTCATCACCTCCGCACAACACGATGCCGTCTTGGCGCAAATCCCCGTCTCCGCTGAGAACAGCAGCCGCGCACTTGCCGCAGTGCCTACCCAACAACTCGCTCAGATGAACATCAAGAGCGAGCCCACGCCGCCTCCAGAGAAGAAAGCCAGCAATGTGGGCTACTATGCCGACAACACTGCCAATGCGCCTCCACCAGCCTACCCATCGGTCCCCGCGACCCCCGCTGGACCCCCAGTCCTCGCATATGCATCAGCAATGTACCAATACAATGCTCAAGACGCCGGTGATTTAGCACTCATGCCTAACGACAAGATTACTGTGTCAGAGTATATGAACAACGAGTGGTGGAAGGGACGCAACGAGCGCACTGGCATGGAGGGTATCTTCCCGGCCAGCTACGTACGGACGGAAGAGAAGAGCATGGTACCTGCCGCTGCGCCAGCAGCGCCAGCTCCCAGTAATTATGGAAACATGCCGCTTGATGTTGCGCAAGGCGCCCAGCAACCGCCACACGAGCCCAGCAAGTTTGAACAGAATGGGTTAGTTTTTACATCACACTATATTCTTAAAATCTAACATGTAATCAGCAAGAAGTTTGGTAAAAAGCTAGGCAATGCTGCAATCTTTGGAGCTGGGTAAGTACTATCCTTGACATTACACTTAGTGACGGAAGGCTAACCTGTCCGGAAAATAGAGCCACGGTTGGAAGCAAGCTCGTGAACGGAATCTTTTAGAGATGTTAGTTAGTGACATGTGGTCAACATCATCTTCAGGCATGCTCGCTTGTTTGCAAGTCGTTTCTCGGAGTACTCAGGCGTTCTGGAATACGTTTTGTCATTGCAATGGGATAATGAATAGTAACATGTGCCGTATTTATGCTTCGCTGAGTCTGCATCTCTAGTCTATAGTGTGCACTGGGATGATGCCAGACCTCGCAACTCCAGCTACTATGAGTTGATGCAATCCAGGATCGTGTCAATGGACCGGGCCTATGCAAATTGATGAGACACAGTATTATGTCAAGGCCATCACATCGGTAGAATCCTACGAATGTTGCACAAGACCATAACCAATTTCTGCCAGGGATAAAAGTCCGCATAGTCGTAACCCTAAACGTTGGTATCTGATGCTATCATGTAAGTATATTTACATTGCCTAGAGTGGATTTTGTATGCCATTTCACGCCATTAGCAGGACATTTGAGAAATTGCTTTGGCTTGGGAGATACCATATGTGGATAGCTGGATTATAACGTCGTGATTGAGTTAGGACTTCGTTCATATTTGCTTCCAATCCGTGTTATTACACGATCTTAATCTCCTTGTGAATATCAACGTGGACCTGGACATTTAGCCAATGCGGAAGTAGGACTATGTTCCTATTATACTTTTCTAGATTGGACTGGATGCGTAGATCATACATTTTGTACTGAGGCTACAGATAGAAATGGTCATCACTCTTGTGACTACACTCTTCATTTCTCATGACCGGCCGTTGCTGCACCAAGAATCCGCTCCTCGAGTCCAGATACATGTATACATTCGATCCCATTTGCCTCAAGTTTGGCCCTGCCTTGATTTTCCCCAACGAATTTCTCGGGCTCTTTGACGCCAATATAAACTTTTTTGATACTTGCTTCTCCGTCTTTGCTTTTTGTGCGAATGATGCGATCTGCACAGGGAAGATTTCCGCTCAGGCGTAGGTTGCAAGGTTCCATGGTAGTGTAAATAACCGTATTTGGTGGCAAAGCTTCTCCCACACGGTCTTCTGGGAGATCATGTGCTTGTGCAAACTTCAAGAGACAGCATTGCTCTGCGTGTGTGTTGCCCTCGCATTCCAGAGTATATCCACGCGATAAGATGCTGCCAGTGTCTGCATTAACTAGCAGAGCTCCAACACGAAAATTCGAGGGCTTTGGTGGTGATTTTTCGGCCTGGTCCAGTGCGAGACGCATGTACTGCATGTGATCATTGGGATCTGTGATTTGAACTTCTGAAGTAGACTCATCCAACATTCCCACTGGCCCTTCCCACTCTTCAGGCATTTTGTTGGTGAGAGCGGCATTATGAGTGACGCAATGCGAGGTGAGATTCCAGTCTGGCTTCGCTGTCGTTAGGTCCGTGCTCGGTGCTGTTAGCCCCGGCTAAACTCCGACGTCACGTTCTGACGCGACGCGTGCTCAACTCACATCCATAGACAATTCAACCACGCGCACATCTAAGACGCAAGGAACACCTGACAACGATGACGCGAAAGAGACAGGATTACAAGGAGCGCGATGTGAAAGCTATGCGTGAAGACCCATTCGTCAATGATGAAGAGGAGGAAGTCGAGGAAGATGAAGGTCCCCCAACCATCGATCCCTATGAAGTGTTAGGACTTGAGCAAGAGGCCACTGCGGACGATGTCAAAAAGGCATATCGCAAGCTCGCTCTGAAAAATCACCCAGGTGTGCATAGATCTTGTGCAATAGAGATGCAACGCTAATTCTTCCTACAGACAAGGCCGCTGAAGGCGACAAGGAAACGGCGCACAAGACTTTCCAGGAGATCGCATTCGCATATGCTGTTCTGTCAGACGATCGCCGGAGAAGACGCTACGATCTTACCGGTAGCACAGCCGAGACACTCGAGGATGATGGCGATTTCGACTGGCTGAAATTCTACCGAGAACAATTCGAGAATGTAGTTAACGAAGAAGCCATCACTCGAGTCTCAAACGAGTACAAGAATGGTGCAGAGGAGCGACGGGATCTTATCAAGGCCTACAAGAAGTGTAAGGGCAATCTGGACTCGATGTATCAACTTGTCATGCTGTCGGACATCCTGGAAGACGACGATAGGTTCAGACAAATCCTTGACGAAGAGATCGAGAAGGGTACTATCGAAGCATACCCGATTTATGCCAGTCAGACAGACGCGACGCGGCAAAAAGCCAAAGATCGTGAGATGAAGCGACGCGAGGACTTCCAGAAGCATCAAGAAAAGAAGGAAGCAGAGGGTGAGAGCAATGGCAAGGCAAAGGCAAAGAGAAAGAAGAGAGATGGAGATGACATGGCAGGCTTAGCAGCTCTGATTCAGCAACGACAGAAGGCCAGGACGGGCAACTTCTTTGATCAGCTCGAATCAAAGTATGCACCAAAGTCACACAACTCAAAACGTTCGACGCCAATGGAGGAGCCGCCAGAGGAAGCTTTTCAAGCTACGGCAGCGAGGAAGAGGCAGAAGCAGAGTGGTCGCTCGAAGAAGAAGGTTATCGACGAGAGTGAGGAAGATGAGATGGACCTTGAGGAGGAGGATATTGGCGATTCAGAAGACGAGGAAGAAGATGAACCCCCGCGCAAGTCAAAAGCTAAGGCAAGATCCGAGCGCAAGGCTAGAGGGCGAGGGTAAGGCGTAGCCCTTGCAGTCACCAGGAGTCGCTCACAACAGTGACTCATTACGACGATTGACTGGCGTTCATCATATGTTCTCTAAGCAACTTGGTTAGCTTGGAGTCTAGACATGTTAATACGAATTTCGAGGTCATCACAAACGTACCAATGCCATGCATGGCTTTGCACTACAGCAGCTACGGGGTCTGGGTGTCAATCACCTATTGCGCGTCCACATTTCTCCGTTACCTTATCGCACCTGGACACTGAATGCTGTTGCAATAAACCCCTTTGCCGTCCTCCTGAATCCGTTTGTCGAGCATATATGCTTCGAAGGCTACCACGGCAACCGTGCTATCTTGCCGCTTGTAGTACATCTACAATCACATCTCACATCAACCTTCGCTTACTTTTGACCTACGAATTACCTGCTTAATAAGCCTTCATCTCTGGTCTTTACTGATTTGGCGAATTGTTTTGTTTACGTTTTGCGGCCAAGCAAACGGTCTGGCAGCCCTGCTTCCCCGCAACGAGCAAGTACTTGTACCTTCACCTCGTCTTTCTCTTCGCAATCGGCTTGCCGTCGAGACGCCAGCTCACACTGCTCCCACTTACATGTAGCCTCATGAAAAGGTGCAGTAGCTCTGGATTGTGTTGTTTATCTATCACCTTCGTCGCAAATCTGACTCGTTCTTGCTTGCTCTCAAGGAGAGTGATAGACAACGGTCACCATGGCAAATCCAAAGATGGGGACTAGTCCAGGCACTCCAACTGCACGCAAGGTACCATAGGGCAAAAAAGGGTGAGTTTGGAGCTGAGACTGAGTTTGTGCAGGCTCCATCCACTCCGCAATCACCAGCATCGGCAAGCTCGAAGGTATCCGCAAAACGCAAACAGCAGCCCAAGCCTCCTGGCTCTCAACCTACCCCGGGTGGTCGGCAGCGTAAGCAATCCATGACTTCTAGAGGCCCTGTGCAGACAGACAACAAGCGCAAGATGAAAAACGAGGTTCGTAGTAGGATGCAAGGCGATCGCCTGACCAAGTCGTATTGATACCGTCACAGGAAGAGTCTATGGAGATGGCCTCACCTAAGCCCAGCGCCGATGCCTATACCGCCACTGAGACTATTCCGACAACCCCGAAGAAGCAGAGAATCGATATGGGGGTACAGGACCGCCCGGTTTACCAACCGAGCCCAGGTCATCTACCTACAGCCGTCTCGCCATTTGCACTGTCTTCTCCAGCCCGGCAGCAGCAGCAGCTTGCCAGTATGAGCGCTACACAGTTGACGGGCAACCTACTCCACTCTGCTCTGAAGAGGCATCCCTACATAGTCCCCCAGAAATCTGCGGCTATTCCGATCACGTCGAGTCATATCACCGAGATTGCGCACAGAATGTGGCAGCTCGCATTCGAGAACCCGGGGGTGCTGGACCAAGTCTGTTCATACGCCGCCGCAATGTCCCACATCCAACTTGCTACTCTCGCCAAGCTAGGCTATCTTCCAAGTTGGTGGTATCTGCGCGAGTCGGTAGTTGTGCACATGACGAGGCAACAGTGGATTGTCGATGATACCACCATGCGCAGTGAGTGGTTGACCGTGCTCGGCTGGTGCCGCAGCAATCTACCCAGGGCCGCTCCAAAACCCAGTGTAGATGGTGTCCAAGGAACACGTGGGGAGAATGGCGAGGTGATCGTAGTTGAAGATGAGTAGCACGATGCGGACGAGAGAGAGAGCCGGAAACTTGGGGCACGGAATCATGAACTGTGTATTGCGCTGTGAACGACTGGACTGGGCCAAAGTCAGGAATCAGGTCTCTCAATACGGTCGATTGTAGCGTTCACACGCTAGCGAAGCTAAAAGCAACGTGGTAATGACATACATGGCATTTGGGGTAGATAGCTCCTACACTAAAGAGTTCTACTATCTCAACTTTGCCGACATGAAATTAGCTACAGGCTTCAATCTCCATTTCCTTTCTAGCGCTTGCACTGCTGAAATTTCTGATAGTTTTGTGTTCATTCGATAGCTCCGTACCTCCAGGCTTAGTAAACCAAATCTGTACAGAAATGCGGGAATGAAGAAAGCTTTTGGGGGTCAGACTATTGAATAGAATACGGGTATAAGGAGAATGAGTACCTGCTAAGGAGCTGCTCGATGACCAGTTCTTCACAGGACGCTTTTGCACGTATTAGGCAACACATAGTTACCTACATTCGCAAGTACAGCTTCAGCTGTAATTTTCCTCTTCAGAAGCATCTTCGGCTGTAAGAGCGAGCTCGGTGTACCTTTACGTTTGATGAATGTACCTTGAAGAGGTCTAGTGCACACTATATGCGTGATGTAGTAAGTCTCATATTAGCTGACTGCGTCAAAAGACCCTGCATCACCAGATCTAATTGTACTCATTCGATTACTATCATATGAATAACGGTGAATAAAGGTGGCTCTGGCTCTGTAAAACAAATCATTTGGTCTTTTAAGAAGCACCGTGCCACACGTCATTACAATACATTTTAAGTCCATTCTCATTACGGAAAGATGAGCATTTTTCTCACAGTTTCGAGATAGGATACGCCATGTGTCAATAAAAGAAGATCAGACTCGCACAATTTGAATCGATAGTGGTAGTGGAAACTGCGGGTGGAAGATTTGCGTAGTTTTTCGCTCTGATCTTTCGCAAAGAAGTGTTGTCCTCTCTACCACGAGCCGGAGTTCACCTATCTTACTATGTTCCTATTTCTACAGAAGAAACTTTGGCATCTTACATATAGTAGCGGGCAGTGCTTGTGCGCACCACAAGCAATATTACCCTTCGGCATCTGTAATCCGGCACAGAAAATTTTATCTTCCACACCTATTCTCCTCTCGAATCACCGCAATGTCATAGCACATAACATGATACATTATAGTAATGATATCGTGGGCAGGATTGTGAGCCAATGGATGTGTAGGGTTAAACATCGAGCTATCTTATGTTACACCAAACGGCACTCAAATCCGAAATGAATGATTCATTTTCAGGCCCGAACGATGCTCATGCTAATGAATCCTGATGAGGTAGTAGCGGTGAACAGCTACAGAGAATATCCCAAGGGACTCTGGCAAAAACAAATCAACACACCACTTGCAACTATACTAAGCACGAAAGATCTTGGACTTCACAATCGTTATACAACAATGGTACATGTTTTCTGATCTTATCAGGTATTCACCCCTAAGAGCTCTCGCTGACACGACATGTCTCTATGATGCATATCGCGTAACAGGACAGGACTCAGGCACATCCTGATGTCCCGATGTCCCTGAGATTGCTCCACCCTAGCTTGTTACCTCTTGTAACAGTATCTGTACTGTGTAAATCATTTAATTTATTGTCAGCACTTAGCTGACCTGCCGCCTTGTAAGACCGTATCAGGATCAATGCCAATCGGGCCAATATTGTATATGCAGATTCATCTGATACCTACACAGTAAGACAGCGGTAGATCGCCTGTAGTACAGAAAGCTAGCAAGGAGTCAGCTTAAGGTGTAGGTACAGTAGGCGTGGCTGGTCTACCTCTGGCATTTACTGTGTTTGCGTAATGCTGTGCACTGTGTGCGAGATCAATTTTAGTAGATCCTCGCTTTTAAACCGGAAAAAATACGATCTATTATTACAGATCTATGTACCAGTATAGCACGCAGTAAGCCCAATCTAAAGTCTATCCAATGATTCTCCTTACCAAGCTTTTAGCGCAATTAGAACAGCCGAAAGATAATGCTAGTCATGTGTCAGCGCGACCCATCCACTCAACAATATAATGCTATACGAGGAAAGAAGCTCCGTATACAGCAGGTTTAGATAGGAGCCTCTGCGACGCGCAGTTTCTTGCCTTAACGCTTCCCCCACCAAGTTCCTCTATTTAAATTCACTTTACCAATATGAAGCTAGCTACAAACCTTTTCCTCTTTTGCCTTTCTATCGCTAGCACTACTTTAGGTCAACTGAGTTTAATCTATATTTCCTCACCTAAATGCAATAAGAACTAAGATGGTCTAGACATGCCAACAGCAGGCTTTTGTGATAAGTACAGATCCAAATGACACGATTTTTGTGCCATGCGCTTCAGTGGGGATCTCTTATTTATCTAGCTATAGGTAAAATGCACACAAATTTCATGCTGAGAGGACTAGATATACAAATGTACAAATAACGGCAATCCCTGTTTTTTCGATGTACAGATCAAAGAGAAGGATCAAACATATGTAAAGTGTACTTAGAATATCCAGAATCCTTCTTGCATTAAGTCAGTCTGGATCATAGAGCGGTGGCACGTTCTTTGACAATGGTTGGAACTCAACTTTGTCCTACTACCGGTATCCTCCTGTAATTCAAAATTCACACCACCTGCAGTTTTGCTAGTCCTCCTTTAGCAGATTCTGCGTTCTTAACTTGTTCTCTTTTGGGCTCGGTAGTGTATTTGAGCACCTGTGATGCAGTCTACTTGTATGTCTTTGACATCATGCGAATCCCACGATGCTAGGAGTCCCCTTACGGCGATGTGTACACTGGCACCAAGCTCAAATGATGATATCTAGATTGACCTATGATGGCAGGGAGAACTGAGAAAATCGTCTGTACTTGATCCTGTATCAGCTAAACCGATAAGCACGATATTTACTCAGAAAGTGAAGTCTAAACAATTCGCATCAGGCGCTAAATGGATTGTGAATCAATGCTATGTTACTTTCGTACACATAGATTACGACGACTTACCTCATCTTGGAGCTAACCTTTTTACTTGTGGAATTGAGCCACCTACACGCCTACTCATGCATGATTATTAACAAAGGCGATATTTTCTGATCGAAGGGTGACTCAAGGGTGTCAATGGAGGTACATCACGAAGGGGTGCTCTGGGTACTGGACTTTTGATCCCTTGTTCCCTTGTTCGAGCGATGTCAATTGGATTATTCTGCGACAAAGGAGGTCATAGATCGTTGAACTCCCATTCGAAAATACCTGTAACCGATTCCTAACTCAAGCCTTATGTCATCCCTACTCAGTTCTCATTATCAAGAATGAGCTTCTTCCCCCTTGACTCCAACCCAGCAGCTTTCAGCACTGCATATCTCACATGATCAATGCCTAACCTCTTGCCATCGACGACAGTCTCCGCACTACATCCCAATATTTCTCCAAGCGCCCCTCCGCCAACCGGTGGCTTGATGTCAACTTTCAACTTCTCCATTGCCTCTCGCAATCCCTGTAGCGTACCCTTAGGCTTTAGCTTACCCACCGACTTTCCGTTGAAATGCTTAATTTCCTTCGCTTTGGGTATATATATTTTGTCCAACTTGGAAAGGATGACCTGATGGCTGACACCTGTAAGACGCAGAGTCGCAAGAAGCGAGCGATCCTTATCCTTAATACCATGTTGAGCATCAAGAAGAACAAAGACACGACGGAGTTGTTTGCGCGACTGGATGTACTTCATGATCTCGACACCCCAAGAGGACAGCGATCCTTCACCGTAACCAGGCATGTCTACAATTACCAGACCACTTCTCCCAATAATCTTGTCACGACCGTCGGGCTGCTTTTTGAGTACAATGCCATTTCCAGAACCTACGCCGTAAAGGTTCATCGTCTTGGTGAAGCCCGGTGTCGATGAAGTGCGTGCTAGCAAGCTTTTGACGTCTGCACCGACCACAGCATTCAGCAGGCTGGATTTTCCAACATTGCTGCGGCCAACAAAGGCAACTTCTGGAACGTCAGATTCAGGAAACATGCGGAACTGCGCTACACTTCGCAGGAGCGTGGCGTCCTTGCCATGGTTCGTGAAGAAGCGGTTGGCGAGCACTTTATCGTTGATGGTAGGTGGGAAGGACTCCCAATACCAGTTGAAGTCTTCTGGACGATTCTTGCTCTGAACTGTAGATAGTTCAGGTATGAGTAGTGGTGCGGCCATTGGCTTTGGCATTGAGCCTATAGGTGCAGATGGCATGCTTGGTATAAGTACTTCGATGGCATTCTGTGACCGAGTCCTTGGCAAGGGCCTTTGTAGATTCCTCTCGACATCTTCGGGCGACTCTACTGACGTAGTGTCTGTTCTCACAATCGTTTCAATTCGCCGTGGTCGTCCAGGTCTTATGCGGCCTCTTGGTCTTGTCTCTACAATGTTTGCTTCCACATTGTCATTGTGATCGCTTGTATGTAGTCGCGAAATCCCAGGGAAGTTTGGATGAAGCTTTCCACGAAGATGTGGCCTTGAGTACTTCCTATTTTGCAATTGAGCTGCCTGCACTATTGGATTGGAGGCGCTTTCAGATGCTCTCACTTGTCGGATGAAAGATGTGGAATATTGGCGCAACAGATGACTTGTGCATTTCCGACACATGTATCTCGGCGTTTCCAACATTAGATTCATGTTGAAGTTGCTTGTATACAGAAAGAGAGGGAGTTCACGATTCAAAAAGTTCACCAAGGGTCCAAGCGTCCTCCGCAACTTTTCGCCGCAGCACCTCCGCAATTGAACTTTCCAGCATCAACATCGACGACATCGACACCTACATATAGCCCTGACCACAAAGCTCCCCAGGCATCTTCTGCATAAATCACTACACAACCAATCGCTCATAAGCAAAAGAAAACACAATATCGAAGATGTCTCAGCAGGCCACTCAGATCCGGTCCCTCTACCGCCGCCTCTTGCGCGAACTCCCATCAACCCCCCAATTGACACGCACCCAACACCAAAAACTCTCCGCTCCATCACACCTCCAACAGCGCATACGCTCCACATTATCAACAGCAACTCCCACCACAACAACGCCGCAGAGCCAAATACAGCAAGCAGAGCAATTCATTCAATATGTGCAAGCGCAACGGACACACTCGACGTTACTGGAGAGATATAATCCGGGTATGGGCATGACCGAAGAAGAAAGGGTGCGGCTGAGTGCACGGAGGGTGGGAATGAATCTGCCTGTTGAGTTTGAAGACGGTGAATCCAAGGAGTGAAGTTGTGAAAAGGAAGGCGGCTCGAACTAGCAGTCAGTCCTTAGGATGTATATCAAACCGAGTGTCATACCGCAGGGCTGGCAGAAGGCCTGGGAGGAACAGATTTATTGGTCGGTGCGTCTGGATAATCAGAAGCCCACTTACTACAAGAAACGGGATAACTGGGAGGCTTGGGAAGCCGACAAGACCATTTCGAGGGCGACATGATAGTGCATTTGAGACGACTCTTAGATTGAAAAAATGCCCTAGATTCCATCACATGCGGCTTTGTACCGGTAAATTCATCTAATGTCGGATTCGATAGACACGTCGGTGTTGACATAGCGTGATGATACATCACACATACCCCACAAGAATACCCATCGCCAGTCCAACTGTCCCAAACGCCGTGGAGGCCTTTCTAAGACCCAGCAGCACATGCAGTACCTACGCTTCCTGATCTCGACCCGGACACCTCGGCTTCCGACGGCCCAGAAGTTTGGCCTAGCAACTCCATCTGGTATACAACCAATGCGCATTGACGTGCTGCATTCAGCGTTGAGCAAACTAAGCCCTCCAGCAAACCACCGATGAACCCCCCTGTCTTATCTTCCTAAGCGAGAGAAGTGACGACATCGATCGCAACCACGAGTCGAGATCTCTACCCATCTTGAGCCTATACGGACCCAACGAAAGCCGCGACACCTTACCTACCAACGCCAACCTACGGTCCCCACATGCTTGTGTAAATAAAGAATACCGCCAGCCCTGGCCAACAAGCCCTCCCCCCCCAAAAAAATCCGTCTTTTACAAACACATTACTGTGTGTGTGCGTGGTTCTACTGATTTGGTGAACAACAACAAGCACAAGAAACGCAAAATGACACTCCTTCAAACACTCCTCCGCGCAACTGCTTTCAAGAATCCCCTCTTACGCACACTTGTACCTTCTGTTGCGCTCGCATACGGTATCCAGACCGCTGTTGCCGTTCCCTCTATCGCAGCACAGACAGAACGCTACTATGATTTGAGCGGCAGCTTAACCTACCTCTCCTGCACTGCGCTGTCCCTATTCCTGCCCTACCTGCGCGCACAAAGCGCGGGCGCAGTCACCGGCGGTCTCGCAGAGTATCTAAGCAGTAGAGGATTGGGCCAGGGCACGTGGTGGTGGAGACAGGCGCTGTTGAGCGCGGCCGTGGGAATATGGGCGACGCGATGTACCTCCCACCTCCCTCTCCCCTTGCACAGCACTACCAATATACAACATTGAGCATCTTTACTAACAGATGGAAAAGTGGGATCTTACCTCTACCAACGCATCTCCTCCGACTCTGGCCGCGACTCCCGCTTCGACAAGATCCGCATCTCGCCCCCAAAATTCTACATCGCCTTCTTCGCCCAGGCCACCTGGGTCACCCTCTGCACTCTACCCATCATCCTCGTAAACTCGCTGCCCCGCTCCGCCTACGCAGTTCCCCTCGTTGCAGGCAGTCAAGCGGCCATTGCCGCAAAACCCTACCTCACCGATCTACTCGGCCTCGCCCTTTTCGCCTTCGGCCTCACCTTCGAGGTCGTCGCGGACCGCCAAAAGGCGCAGTGGGTGGCAGACAAGAAGGCAAAGAGGCACAGCGAAGAGTTCTTGACACACGGGCTGTGGGCCAAGTCGCGGCATCCGAATTACTTTGGCGAGGTGACGCTGTGGACGGGGATTGCGCTTGCGGCAGCGGGGCTGTTGGTGAGACAGCCTGCGCAGGCGGCGTTGGGGTTGAGTGGCGGGCTGAGTGGGAGAGTGTTGGTGGCGGGTATGTGTGCGGCCAGTCCTGCGTTTGTTACTTTCTTGCTGCTGAAGGTGAGCGGCGTGCCTTTGAGTGAGGAGAAGTATGACAAGCGGTATGGGGACAGGAAGGACTATAAGAAATGGAAGGATGAGACGCCCATGTTTATCCCCAAGTTTTAGTTTGGGGGGGGGCCAATTGAGTGGCTTGATGAGGGAAGAGTCTAGCATGGCTATTCATTCATATAGAAAACAATAATATGAAGCATGCAAGGAGATGAACGCGGAGAGGTCGGAGACATGGTAAAGTAGCGGGGACATCATCATTACATCTATCTCCTTGTAAACTTACTAGCCCTCTGAAACCGCAGCTACTTTGTATCCACCATGACAACCCCTACGCAAGATTCTCACAAGCGCAACAGACATGCTTATAAAAGTACCATTGTACATTCCACTATATACGATGCCACTTCTATCCTACAAATACACACATGCCAAAAAAAACCGCAAAGAAAAACCCAAACGAACCCCCTGACATCCCTACTCTACAGGATCCTCCTCAAGCAAAACCTTGAAACTAAACGGCTCAAACGGCACACCATCTCCAATAAAATGCTTGCTCATGGCTTCGACCCAGTGCAAACGAAGTGAATGCAACATGGCACTCGTGCCCTCCATAACACACAACACGGCCACAGTGAGCGCGAACCAAAAGTAAAAGACCACGACCATCATGATGGCGCCTGTGATGCCCCTTTGCGCAAACGCGTTCTTCATGGTCATTTCCCAGAGCACAATGGAGAGACGCTGATGGGCGAGGGAGAGGGCCCAAAGACGAAGGTACGAGGCGGTATGGGACACACAGTTGAGGCAGAATTCTGTAAAGTAGTTAGCATGATTTTTTTGGGGGAAACCCGAGAAAAAGAGCAATCGAGTGTCGACTTACCAATGGTATGGATAACCTGGTGAATCATGACTTCACTGAATTCAAACTCCTCGTGGTCTTCACCGGCACCAATGTCCTGTGTAATCATTGCAATGCCATCAGCATCATCGCCGAAACTCTCGCGGCCACCGTTGAGTGGACGAGCGTCATCGTCATCATCGTCCAGCGCGCTGACGCGAGAATGCTCGCCGATACCGCGATAGCCCATTGCGCGGGCCTTGTTGTGCTCGTATCGGAGCCAGAAGGGCTTCAAGAACAGGAGCACGGGAACACAGGCAAGTGCCATGAGTAACAAGATGACCTGAACGGTAGCTTGACCAGGGTAAAGGGGCTTGACTCCAGATTCGAGGGTACCGGGTTGCAAGAACATGTAGATCAGCATGTTGAGCAGTGAAGGTGGGTTCTCGCCACGTGCGGGCCAGTCGATGCACCACTTGTAAACGATAGTGAACACAAGGTATCCGAAGATGGACTGGAAGAAAATCATGCCGGGTATGAAGTTACCCCAGATGTCAACCTTGCTCTTGAAGTACCGTGCGTTGACGAGGGACCACATGAGCGAGAAGGTCATGTGAGTCCAACCAAGAAGAATACTGAGCTTCATCTTGTAACTGTTGGAGAACAAGAGATCATTCTCGGTGTCGTGCCATCTGTAATCCAAGCCAAAGGGGTAGGTGTAGCCCTCCACACGTGTTGCGGTGGGGCCCTTGCCGTCGTTGTCCCAGACCCACATAGACTTGAACCAGGGGAGGCCGAGGGAGAATGCATCGCAATAGAGAAGACCGGTGTAGATGGAGAAGATACCCATCATGAAGACAATATAACGACCGTAGAACATCATCGAGAAAAGCTCGTCCAGTTTGCTGCGCTCAAGGCGTTTCTCAAAGTAGATCATGGCGCAAGCGGCCAGGAGGAGAATGACACCATGTCCGGCATCACCAAACATGACGGCGAACATGAAAGGAAAGGTAACGACGGCAGGTAGAGCGGGGTTAACTTCGCGGTACTTGATTGTGCCGTAGGCATCGATAATGGTTTGGAAACCAACGGTGAATTTATTGGACTTGAAGTATGTTGGCGGGGTCTTGGTCGTCTTGATCTGATTCACAATGGTAGGTACAGACAAGCCAGCGCGTTCGTTGACGTCCGACAGGGTCGACTTGATCAGGCCGAGCGAGTTGGTCGGTGCCCATGCTTCAGCTATGAGCGTTTTGCGCTGGTGATCGTACGAGAATTTGTTCAACGTCTCATATGTCGCCTTTTCTTTCTTGATGATAACCATCCATGCCGCCAGGTTGCGACTAATGGCTGTCAATTCAGCATCGAGAGTGGACTTGGTGTTCTTCAACACGCTGGCAAGATCGCTCAACCGAGTGTTGACCTCCCGAATTTGATCGCGGCGAAGCTCGCTGTTCTCATCCACACTGTACAGGTCGGCACCCATTGATTCGGAGATCTTGCGGATCTTGGCAATGATCTCCTTGCCATGGGCAAAGATGATGAATACGTTCTTGCTGGTCTCCTCGTTGCTCTCGGGGTTGATGATGGGCTCCGGAATCTCTGACTGATTCATGTACAAGTTGCCACGGAGGGTACGCCACAAGATCCTTTCGAAGGCCCCCATGCGCTCACGGGGAATGACACCGGCAACGAAGCCAATGTTCATGACGGTGAAGGAGCGCTCAGCGCCTGCGTCACCTGATCCATTCTGCTCAATGTCGCTGAGGAGAGGCGCATCGTCATCATCGAGGGACTGTCTGATCTCATCAGTCTGTCCGCGGGCCCTGTCGAAGAATCCACCAGCCTCCCTTAGTACCCAACGCCACTCTGTAAGCTCCACCTCGCGCTTCTTCAACGTCTCATAGCTCTCGTTTAATGAAGAAATCCTCTGTTCCAAGCTCTGGCTCTTATCCGCGAGCTCATCTATCTCGGAGGCGGAGGGCGCAGTGAAGGGATTATTGAAGTCATAGATGGATCGCATCGTAATGCTCGACTTCTCCATTTGGGCGTGAAAGTATCTGAGCTGTCGTTCGACATTATCGAGGCGACGAATCTCCTGAGTAAAGGTGCGTTGGAAGGCAGTCGTGTCCGAGTTGAGCTAGCAGTCGCATTGTCAGCTCCCAGTCCATGACCACTAACCATGAAGCTTTGGCATAAGTGTATGGAGTTGGCACGTGATTACTCACATCTCTGAAATCCATGACACCGAGCTCTCCAAGCGCAGAGACGACCTCGCGGCCAATCTCGTTAGCTATGTAGAGCTGGGTCAACGACATGTCCGCCGAGCGGTACATGGTGTCCTGTGTGGGCGCCATAGTGGCAGCTCTGGGAGACAAGTCTTCGCGTGAAGGTTGCTTGTCTCACGTTGCCTGGGAGGATGTCGATGGGAGGTGATGGGTTGTTGATGGAACAGCTGCCTTTCTCCCGTTCACGATGATGCGGCGAACCAGAGCTGGCAGATGCTTGGCAGGCGCGAGTCTAAGCTCCAGCCACGATCACGTGTACGTCATTCTCTATGTACCTGCAGACTAGTATACCGCCCGAAAATATTTCCAAGAGAACGACCGTACAACAGAATAGAATTCATGTAACTGAGGGTAAAACCAAGGAATCTGGGATGTTATATGACGGGATTATTTCTACAGCTACTGTCATTTGGCGGTGGAACACATGCCGTGCCACCAACCAAGGGTATGCGACTTTTTACTTCTAATCCATAAACTCCTGTCTGCTAGACATATGCGCCATCATCTCCTTGCTCAAATGGTCAATCCACGCTCAAGCCTGCTCCCATCCATCACAACGGCTATTTAGTCTTCGAATTTGAAGCCCTTGCCACCCGACGTGTCAATAGCACCTCCACGGTAGGAGCCCCTCTTTCCCTTGTTCTTCTCCTTGGTGAAACCCTTGCCTTTGGTGACAATGAGTTTAGCGTGCGCGCGGTCAGCATAGTCGTAAGAGACGTAGGCGTTGCTTGCGAGGTTTGGGTCCACGACCACATCCGGCTTGATGCGCTGGAAACGGTTTTCAATGTGGTTCCGCTTCTTAGCTGGGCCGTCGGCAGTAGTTGAGCCATCAAATTTGCGCTTGTTGCCGGCTGTGGGAACTGGTGAGTTGGCAGGGAGAGTTGCGGACGAGTCAGTGGACGAGCCCTTACGCTCAACCGCACCAGGTGTCGCCTCGTTCGAGTCGGATTCGGAATCTGAAGAACTGTCTGAGGAGCTGGAGTTATCAGAAGAGGAAGAGGAGGATGTCGTAGTCTTCTTCTTGCTCTTGCTGGGTCTGGTATTCTTGGCAGGCTCCGGTTCCGAGTCACTATCGGATGAGCTGTCGCTAGATGAATCTGAAGAGCTCGAGGCCGAGGAAGACGTGACGGAGGCTGCCTTCTTAGCGGCCTTGGTCTTGCTGGCTAGATCAGCTTCCGAGTCGCTGCTGTTGCTGTCGGAATCACTAGATGAGGAGTCGCTGGCGCTTGATGAGTCGGAGTCGGATTCGGGAAGGGGTTTGTTCGCGGGTTCAGAGTCCGAGTCGCTGCTGTTCGAGTCGCTAGAGGAAGATGCTGAAGAGGAAGAGACTGATGTAGCCTTCCTCAGCTCGTCAGAAGATTCTTCGTCAGAAGACTCAGAGCTAGAGCTTGACGAGTCTGAGCTGGAACTGGACGAGGCCGAGTCTGCCTTTTCCGCAACTTTTTTTGCTGCAGGCTTGGTTTTTTTGATATCCGCCTCAGACTCGCTGCTGGACTCGCTGCTAGAGTCGCTACTAGACGAGTCGCTAGTGCTAGAGGAAGACGAAGCCGCCTTCTTCACCACCTTCTTAGTGACAGCCTTTTTGGTTGTCTTCTGTTCTGCCTCTGATTCGCTGCTATCGTCACTGCTAGATTCGTCGCTGGACTCGGTGTCCGCATCGCTACTCGAGTCGCTGCTGTCTGCGCTTTCGCCGTCTATGTCCATAGCATCTGGTGCATCTCGTGTCCTTTGCCACTTGTGGAATTGCTTGAGCATCTTGGCTGCGTCTTTTTGGCCATGCTGCTCAAGGAAGATCTTGACAAGCTCGATTGGTGCTGCTGTGGTGGTTGTAGAGGTATCGTGTGCGGTGGTCACGGTCGACTTGCTCTTTTTCGCCTTTTTGTCGCCCGTTGACTTTTTGGATGTCTTCTTTTCGGCAGACATGACGCGTGATTGAGCTCGAGAGGAGTGTGTGGGTGATGTGGGTGAAGTAATGGTGGACAGAGACCAGGGAGGAAAAGAAAAAAAGTTACGGCGGGCGGAATAAGCGCCTCGGGAAAGCTACCTAGCCTCAACAGGGATCAGCCGGCGTCTCATATGGAGTTTAGGTACACGCACGCTTTCTAGATGTCGCTCTCCGCAATGCAGAGTGAGTAAGAGTGGGTGAGACAGGGCCCGTTCTTGGATGCGCCACTGTTGTTGATGCTTCTCCCCATTGCGCCCCTACCTGGAGCTGTAGCCATCTCGACGCCCATTGACGCCCTAACAACTTAACACTCACCGATACCTATCCCACTTCGCCCGTGTAGCTCCCTCCTCCTCTCCCCCTCCTCGGTGACGCCCAACCCACTCTCCGCAATACGCCAGCCCGGATACCGTACGTCTCGTCTCGTCTCTTGTTGAATGGCCACAACACTGCGTTTAGAAGCTTGCCACAGCGCTTTCGGGCAGTGAATACACGTGTGGCTACCTCCCCTTTTGCAACAACTACCCGCCGTAGGACCCCATAGCTACAGTAGGATTCGCTGCACAGCTGGCCAACAACAGGCACGCGTAACATGGACGGACGACCGCGCAACTACCCCAATGGGCTGGGCGACCCCCGCGGACCCCCAAGCCGTCCCTCTACCGGGGGCGGCGCACGAGGACCACCGTCAACCACCAGTGCGAGCTCGACACCCTCTACCATGTCGCGCGCCGAGCGCTTCGACGATGAGCGGCGCCGCATCACCGAGAGCTGCTTCTCCAAGGTGGACGAGCAGGGCCAGCTCCAGGAGTCGTACATCACCCACATCCGCGTCCAGGAAGACGGGGGATTCCCGCAGTCTCCCCCGCCGCCCAATGCGCCTACCTCGAGCAAGAAGAACAGGGTCATCATCATCTCCGTGCGGAACACGGGCAGAGTCAAGCTGCACAAGGCGAGGGAAAATGCGAATGGCACCTTTTCTATTGGGAAGTCATGGCCAATGGAGGAGCTCTCGGCCGTCGAGAACTACGTACACGGTACGCCCAAGAATGAGGAAGAGGCGCAGCGTCAGCAATGGGCTGGCGACAGGGGCTTCACCGTGACCATCCTGAAGCCCTACTATTGGGAAGCAGGCACGGCAAAAGAAAAAGAGTTCTTCATCGGTAGTATGGTGAAGATCTACCATAAATACACCAAAGGCGACTTTCCTATCCTGACGGGTTTCAGTCCAGCCGAACTCAATAGCTTGACCAATGGAAAGCCCCATCTTGCTACTGCCGAAGGCCGCGCTGCTTTTGCTTCCAGTGGTGGTGGTGCACCAAGCCCAGACGCCCGACCACTACCCCCCAAATCGCCAGGGCCGCCCCCTAGACGGCCCGGCGAATCACCTCAGATGATGCCAGAAGATGCTAGGAGGGGCCCTATACCCATGCAGTCAAATCCCAACTTCAGAAGGCCTCCTGGAGAACACCAAGGCCCCAGAAGGCCAGGTCCGCCAGAAGACCAACTTCGTCCTGGTAGCAGGCCAGGACTGCCAGACGATCAGTTTCGTCCTGGCAGCAGGCCAGGCACAGCAGATCCGTTTCGTCCCGGTAGCAGGCCAGGCACAGGAGATGAGAGCCGTAGACCACCACCTTTTGCTCCTAATCAGCCAACGCCTCCGCTGCCCGATCTCAGGCAAAAACGTTCAATGGAGCAGAGCCTTCGTTCGCGACCGAGTGGCGATAGCATGCGGCCGCGCCCAGGTCCTGGTCCAGGTCCAGGTCGAGAACCCGTTCCACCAACACCGCCTTTTGCATTACGAAACCTCACACCCCAATCTTCGAATCCTGAATTTGCCGGTCCTCCACGGACACCAGATCCTGTCAATGTTCCGGCAGCTCTTAGTCCTGGGCGCCGACCACCTGGAGACGATGCACAGTCGATGAGGTCGCAAAGATCGTTCGATTCCGCACAAGAAGGGCCACCCCCGCCAGTACCTCCACTGGAGCAACGTAGGCAGAATGGACTTCCACCGCCTAGGTTGGACCAGTCACCCAGGGGTCTTAGGCCCGGTACCTCGCAAAGCAACGCAAGCTCGAATCTCGCACGAAATGATGAAACGCCACCAGAAGAGCCTCCACAACGGAGAAGACCCCTCATGGAGTCGCGTCCATCACAAATGTCGCAGAACAGTGTCGAAAGCCAGGGACAAGATTCACGTGCTACACCTACAGGGTCCCCGGGACCGCCCATGGATCCTCCACCACGAAGACGACCACAGGAGATACCAGAGAGACTGAAATCAAGTACTCCAGACAATATAAGGCCATCGCAAGATACGCCGTCCCCATCAAGACCTGCACAAGCGGCACCGCCACCAACGTCGCCTCTTCCAGAAATTCCAGCATCATCTCCCCCCCAAGAAGCTCAGATTGTGAGTCCTGCACCGGCGGTCCAGCCGGCCTCGGCTGAACCTGAAGTGGCTCCAGAGGCCAGCACACCTATTGAGGAGAAGAAAGAAGACGAGGTACATCGTCCAGGCCTAGGCCCAATGGTGAAGAAATCGCTGGCTCAGGCTGACGCAGCAACCAAGTTGCGGAAGGCCGCCGCAGCTGCAGGTGCTTTCAAGCCTCGAGCTGGAGGTGCTGCCGCAAAGCTGTTCAACAAGGAAGCGAAGACCTCGGATGAAGCTGATGGTGTTCATGCAGTCTTCGTTCCTCAAAGGCAAGCACCCAAAGAAGCACCACAAGAAGCACCCAAAGAGGTACCTAAAGAGGAGGTTGTAGAAAAAACAGAAGATGTTGCTCTCGTTCAACCCAAGGCACCCGAAAGGTCATCCAAGGAACGTCCACGCATTAGTACTGAAGTCGTCCCGTCTGTGACGGTATCAAGCCCATTATCATCAGTTCAGGCCACAGCTCTACCAGCAATCGAAGAAACGCCTCCTCCACCAGCTCCAGAGAAGTCAGCATCGAGAAAGGCAGAACCTGCGCCTGAGATACGGCGAAAAAAACGCAGATCTAATCAGCAAATTATAAACATCTCAAAGCTCGGCATAGACCCCGGTATCATCGATGAGAGAGGGCTCGAGTTTGAGAGTTTATTGTCAGAGCTGGGCTGGGGCAGCACTGAGCTTTCGGCCAAGAAGATTGAGTCTCTTGAGACTGACATCAAGCGTGAAATCGCACGCGTTGAGGCAGGCAGTTGGCTTAATAACCTTGAGCAAAAGGACGACCGAGTCGAGGCTGTTGAGCGCATGTTAGATCGTGCTATTGCCGAATGTGACGAACTCGAGGGATTGCTGACGTTGTACAATGTTGAACTAAGCGTACGTTGATTATCAAATACTCTATCAGGCCGCGCGCGCTATCTTTGCAGAGCTAACAATTATTACAGAGTCTGAACGACGACATTGCCTTTATTGAAGCCCAAAGTCAGGGTTTGCAGGTACAAACTGCCAACCAGAGATTGTTACAGCACGAACTCCAGCAGCTGGTCGAAACCATCTCGATAACATCTGATCAACTTGAAGCCTTGAGACGCGCTCCGATTGGAAAGATTGAGGGTCTCAAGGACATTGAATCTTCGCTCGTTCTGCTCTATAAAGCACTCGTGACCATTGATCCCTCGTTCGTTGCTGGCGGGCGGTCAAACGCTCCTGAGGGTGATCACAATGCTCTCGCTGTCAGATTGGGCTTCGGCAATAGTGATCTTGCCACTATGCAGGCTCTGCAGGAAAAACGAGATAGGTATTTGGGCGAAGGCGCTCAATTCTTGGAACGACTGAAGAAGCACATGGAGATCACGTTCGGCGCCGCCATCATGACCACCAGAGATGCACTTTCAAAGATCGATCAAGGGTTTTCTATGCCATCTTTGAAGAAGAATGTGGAAGCCCACGATGCTGGTCGCAACGAGTTGTGGATGTTGAGTCCCATCATGTTGTTCGCAAAGGAGATCGACCGTGGGTCTTGGGACATGCTGCTCAGGATGTACCAGACGCAAGCTGCACAGCTGTACCAGCAGGAAGTACGAGACAACATACTAGCTTGGAGGAGGTTTGCTCGTAAGCCTACGGGAGAGGAGCAAGAACTACTGTTCACTGCGCAAGAGAAAGAAACCGAAAGTATCACGGGCACCGCACGAAAGTTGACTGTCAAACGAAGCCAAACGCTAGCTCGTGGTCTCCGGTCAACGTCCGGTGACAAGGACACCAAGAATGCTAAGCCTACATCACAGGATGGCAAGTTGTACGCATACGATGTCTTTGGTCGAGTTCTGGACGACATCGGCCCAGTTCTGCTTACTGAGCAGAACTTCATCACAGAGTTTTTCCACGCAACCTCTAACAATGCTGTTGACTTTCCAGAAGCGGTACAGGCCGCGCCACCAGAAGCGCGCCGAGGACCGAATCTATGGATACGGAAGCATTTCGAGGCTGATCGGGCCATGGCTAAGCATGTCACCGGCGTCATGGAAGAAATTTTCTCATTCTGGCCTTCGGAGATTCAAAGCCTTGTCGACTGGGCTTGCCAAGCAGATCCCTTGTCAGTTTCTCACTACAACTCATGTGATTGTTGCTAATGATGTGCAGGCAAGGTGTAGGTATCCTAGGGGCTGTCGACCGCAAGCTCGTCGACATTGAAGATTCCAATCAAGACTTCCTGACACGCAACCTCCAAAAGATACACGAGCGGCTGCAGGGCCTCTTCAGCAAGTTCCTTGAGGAGCAGATCCGTGCAATTGAAGACACCAAAGTGAAGATCAAGAAGCGAAAGGGCGTAATCGCTTTCATGAAGATATTTCCCCACTTTGCCGCCGCCATCGAGAACATGCTCCCGCCAGCGTCCGACGGCGGCGACCAGCTAGAAACCCGACGCATGGTCAACGACGGCTACCAACGCATCAACAAAGCCATGTTTGAGAGTCTAAAAGTCATCGCGAAAGAATCGCCCACTGTCATGATTTCCCAAGGGCAAGGTGACCCAGAAGACAAGGAAGCATTAAACTACCACATCCTCCTCATCGAGAATATGAACCACTACATGGAGGAAGTAGAGGCGCGCCCGGACTCTGTACTTGACTACTGGAAATCCAAAGCTCAGGACGAATACACAGAGCACATGAACCTCTACGTCGACGCCGTCATCCGCCGACCGTTGGGTAAACTCCTTGTAAGCTGAAAAATCCAAACCTACTTTCCCTCCTCCACGAAACACTCGCTCACATATGTGCTCTAGGAATTCATCGAGTCCACTGAGGCCCTCCTCGCCCAACCAACCGCCACCCCACAATCCATCTCCCAGCGCTCCTCGCACTCGCGCCACGTCTTCAAGAAATTGGCGCACTCGCACGACGTAAAGGAACTCCGTAAGGGCATCGAAGCGCTCAAGAAGCGTGTGGACAAGCACTTTGGCGATGCGGATGACCCGACCATTTCGCGCGATTTAGTGTTCAAGGTACTCAAGGCGTGTGAGAAGAAGTATGTGGGCGTGAGTGAGCGCATGGGCGTCATCAATCAGGATGTTTATGCGGGTGAGGTCGAGGTGGATTGGGGGGTGAGGGAGGTCGAGGCTGCTTTTAGACGATAGTCTCTCTCTGTGTGTGCGTTCTGAGATTGGAGAAGCGGGGTGGATTGCTAGATGTGTAGATGTGATTGTTGGAAAGAGGGGGTTACTTGTTTTGTATGTATATATCAAGCCATGTTTGGGTGGATACGCGTATGTATCATCATGGGGCTGGACAGACATGTACATTTGTTTGTCTCTTGCATGCCACTTCCTCTTTTCTTTTCTTTTGGGGGGATGGGGTGCTTTTCTTCTGCAACGCGTTGTTTATAAGCGGGGACGCCGTTCTCGTGTGGCAGGT